CATATAATTTAAAATCTTCAAATTATTTGACCATATCAAGAAGTCACAAACCTGATATTACTGCATCATTACTGTCAACAGGAAATAGTTTCTAAGTGGTTTATGCATTAAATATTTACATCAGTTTTCTACAGATTTACCTTCTATGTCTTTTAAAGCTATTTAAATAATTATAGACAGTAGTAACACTTGCATTCACAATATCATCTATCTGTAGTTTTTTCAAAAAAAGCTTTAAAGGCCTGTAATTTTTTTGAAATGATAGTTTACCAAACAAAAGACCACACTTCTTTCTGTGTGGCTTCAATTCACAGTGGGAGGTAATTAAGAGCCCCATTCAGTCTCCATCCTTGAGCTTGCAATGACCTTGAATTAATGGTAGATCATAGCTTAACAGTCCCCAAGAATGAAATGTTATATATTCTATCCTTAAGGATGTTTGGTTAAAGGAAGGAAAACATGACTGTATATCTCTCACACTGATCTCTAAGTATGCAGACTAATTCATATGATTCTTGAACATCTTCAATAATCACCGTGGAATAGAAGAGGGTGCAATCATTTCTGAGGATTGCTTATTAATCAAGACTTGGGCACCAGTGAGTAAAACCCCAATATTCTAATGGGCTCACTTCTTAACAAACTCCAGACTCAGCAATCTATTGCTGAAGGGCCAAGTCTAGTCTGCCAACTATTTTTGTAAATAAACTTTTATTGGAACACAGTCACACCTGCTTGTGAAGGTCTTGTCTAAGGCTGCCTTTCTGCTGTAACAGCAGAGTTGACTAGTTGTAACTGTCTGGACCAAACTCTACATCATTCTCAAATTCTGAAACCATTTTGTAAAGGCTGTTGGCTCACTTTCAGCTGTGTTAATTCTTATTAAACGACAACAAAGTTTAACAGACTTGCTAAGTAACTTTAGAGAAATCTGGTGGGGAGGTTGAAGGAAAGACAGACATTTTGACATTTGAACCACAGCAGCTGAAGTCACAGCTGACACCTTCATTGGTTAATTTGGAGAAAGGACACAGAGCTCAAACATTTACCTTCATCTACAGGGGCGGAGGGGGATGGCCTACCTAATCTCTAAGCTTTTCAAGCTTCATGATTGCTTCAAATGACTCGGGTAAAGCCATATGCAAACGCAGAACACTATGAGTACACAACTGAATAATAAATGTTTCATGGCACCTGCCTAAAGTGACAGCAGGGAAGTAATACATTTTAGAAAACTGGAAACCAAGATGGCTAAAAGAGGGTACGTGGAAGTTTCTTGTACTCTTCTTGAAGCTTTTCTGTAAATTTGAAATTTTAACAAAAAGGTATAAAGACAGTTAAAACAATTTTGAGTGTTCGCACTTAAAAGGGAAAATTTCTGTTACCTTCTTCAGCAAGTGACGTTTAACATAGTAACCGTCACGGGGCACCTGGGTGGCTCAGTCGGTTAAGCATCCAACTTCCGCTCAGGTCATGATCTCACAGTTCGTGGCTTCGAGCCCCGTGTCGGGCTCTGTGCTGACTGCCAGCTCAGAGTGTGGAGCCTGTTTCAGATTCTGTGCCTCCCTCTCTCTCTGACCCTCCCCGCTCACGTTATTTCTGAGTTATGTGTCTCTCTGTTCTCAGAAATAAAACATTAAAAAAAAAATAAAAAAAAAAAAAACCATAGTAACCACCATAATGGTTTTTAAAACGTACAAACCAGGTCCACTACGTCCATGGACCCACGCAGGGCTGAGGCTGCAGGCTACCCTTATTCCAATTCTGCATCCTAAATTTCACCCTTGGAATCTGTCTTACTTTATGGAAAATGAGCTAACTAAAATTAAAGAGATCAAAAGACAGATAAGACACAAAAGCAGCTGGGGGAGAGAACAACAGTAGGAAAGAAAGGGACAGAAGGAGGAAGCAATACTGTGAATAAAAGATCCTAGTTAATCCACAAACTATATAAACACATTCTGACTGTTCACAAGTATCAGCAGACCTCTTTATCTTTTCTTTGGTAGAATAGGAAGGAAACTTACTGAGAACGCTTGACTCATACAATATATGTACATCCCATGTATTTTATATGCGCATATTCCAAGAAGAGATAGCACTTTAATTTTATAAAATACAAACATCATGCTAACTGAAAAAGTGCCTAGAGAGCCACACACATTCACACTGTTAAATATAGAAACTAACTGTAATGAGAATCATTATCTCTGGTTTCCAAGGATACCAGGATAAGCACTACTCCTAAATTGCAGTTCATTCAGCAAAGGGCACAGAGTAATTTATATTCAGGGTCATCCTCAGCTGACAGCAGATGTAAAAGTGGGACTAGGCTAAGTCACCGGGTTTATTTTATTCTATTCTGTTGCCTACTCCGGTTTCCAGTTACCACCACCCTCTGGTCCCAACCCTGGCCAATGTGTTCTAGGTGAAACTTGGAAAATCTGATTCTAAATATCAACTTCCAACAGAAGAAGAGCCCACAAAGGGCAGGGCAGGCTGAGATGTGATTAAAGCTGGGGGTGGGGGTGGGGAAGGCTGGCATTCCCATTCGCTTTGTTTATGGAGAGGAGGCTGGTTTTGTGTGTCTGTCTCCCTAGTCGCCACCTCTCCCAGTGCTCATAAAGGAGATGTACAGTTGATTTCAGCTTCCCACTCAACCAAAGCTGCCTGTCCCAGCTATTAGAGCTTACCACTCCTAACCCGCCATAGTTTCTAGAATGAAATTCACCTTCAATTTGTTCTGTCTTCTAGACTCTGCAATCTAGACTTTCAGATGATTACTATTTTTGTTTCTATAATAACAAAAATATAAAAACTACTTTCCGGCAACCTCAGAGATACTGCCTCGGCATCACTTGTTTATTGAAGGCCATTTATTGATTGCTTTCAACGTGACAGGCATCGTACTGGGCCAGACAGGCGGTGACAAGAGATGATATGAAACTTCACTTTTGATCACCGGGTAAATACAACAAGCCATGTCACTTCGGCAGTTTAAAAAGAGGGATTCTCCCTCTTAGTCAAATTTTCACTTACTAAAACGGTGACATAGATTTCATGGACACTTTAGATTTATCTTAAACTATCAGAAAGTGTATATATAAAAATCTGATGCCAATATAACTGTGACTTTTCATTTATTCTTCCCCTATTACCTATCTATCCAATATGGTAAGACCTCCCCTGCAGCACTTGAGCCAGGACGGAAGTGGCCACAAGGAGAGAGCAACTCTGCCTGCCTTCCATGCTTCCTGCTGATGGATATGAGACAGTGGATCAGGCTAAGCCTCTGAGCTTAATGTGACGATCGAGGAAAATAAGCGCCTGTTTTGATAATCAAGGCATTCCATGACTTCCCTCTTTTGCACCAGTTACAGTAATTGAAACTGTTCACTGCTTTTAAGAGGATGAACCAATGCAATACAACAAAGGTTTCTAGTAGTTATGTAACCTATCTAGTATATCTCAGACAAGCTATTTTAATATTAACAATTAATATAAAAATTAAGACATGTTTCTGAGAACTTTGTGTATTTTGGATGACTTGAATATAGCATACTTAGATATTATGTCGATAGTTTCAGTACAACCCCATCATTTTTCTTCAAAAATTTTTAAATATTTTTTTTGAGAGAGAGAGAGAGAGAAAGAGAAAGAGAGAACAGGGGAGGGGCAGAGAGAGAGAGAGAGAGAGAGAGACAATCCCAAGCAGGCTCCAGGCTCTGAGCTGTCAGCACAGAGCCCAATGTGGGGCTGGAACCCACAAACTGGGAGATCATGACCTGAGCCAAAGTCAGACGCTTAACCAACTGAGCCACCCCAGTGCCCCGCCCCCCACCTTTTAAAAAAATTTTTAAATACGTAATCCTTTTTTAAAAAGGATTCACTTCTTTTATACCGAAATAGTTTTCAAATTCCATACATAATCGTATCACATTTAAAAACCACATGAAATGGGAAGTTAGTCTCAATTGTCTTAAAAGTTATGTCAGTAATTATTTTGGTGTATTATTGTGACACCTATTTCTTCCAAGGAGCAACATTTTGAGGTAAGATGGCTTCAGACAAGATTCTATGAGTCTTGAAAGTACTGAAATGCTTGAGTTGATAAGGCTTAACCGGCCAGTATTTAACGGTTCTCTTGGTCACACCCAAGGCTAGTGCTCCGCACGGCAAAAACGTAGACACTTTCTCAGGTGAAACACCCAACACGAAAAAGCCTTCACAAGTCACTGGCAGGAAGGTCATCCTCTGTTTTAATACCTTTTCTGATAGCACAGATCAGCTTTCACAAACTCACAGCTCTCACCGTAACGTCTAAATCATGGTCTTGCGCACTGCCTGTGTCTTCGAGAATACTTTCTAACGGCTCACCTACCTTCACCTCCTTAGAACCAGGAAGTGTCCAGCCGGCAAACCCCAAATCATATTAAAAAAAGAAAAATAAAAAAGCCCCGAGTGCTGTCACAGTGTTTTAAAAGTGGATTTAAGGACCGCCGGGAAAGGAGAGCTCTGACACCCGAGGCCGAGGCCACCATCCCCCGCGCGGGTCTGGCGCAGCTCCATTCCTGGGCCCAGCCCGGAGCCCCCCAGCCTCCGGCGCAGCCTCCCCGGGCCTCACCTCTCGGCGGAGGCTGCGGGCGGCGCGGCCCCGCCGAGGCAGGGGGTGTGGCTGGGGTGGCCGCGGCTGGCGGAAGGCGGAGGGGCGGCTCGGCTGCGTACGCGGCGGAGTAGAGGTGACACCGGCGTACCCGGAGTTGTAAGCGCGAAGCGAGAGCGGCGTGCGCCCGAGGGAGGCTGCCCGGAGGCTGGCCTCGGCCGCCGAGGCGGCGCCGGGGGTGGGGGCGGGGGGCGCGCGGGGGTCCGGGCGTCCCGGGACGCTCGCGGCGTCTGCGGGGCGGGCGGGGAGGCGCACGGCAGGTCGGCGCCCGCCCTCCGGGGAGCCGCGGCGCGGGCCGGGGGGCGGCGGGGGGCGGCTCGGCTCGGCGCGCACTCACCTATGCACAGCTGGATGGCGTAGGCGTAGTAGGACCAGCCGAGCAGGAGGCTGATGAACACCACCGGGATCCAGTAGAGCACCCGCCGGCAGCGCCGCCTGACGCTGCCCGGGCCCGAGGGCGCCATCTTCCAGCCGCATCCACCTGCCCAGCTCCGCCGCCGCCGCCGCCCGCGGGCCTGGCTCCGGGGCGGGCTGGCCGCGCCCCGCGCTCCCGGCGGGACGGGCCCGGGGGCGGCGGCCGGGTGCGCTGCGGCCACTGCCGCCGCCGTGGCGCTAAGTCCCCATCGCGCAGCCCCAGGCCGGCGCCGCGGACTCCAGGCTCCTCAGCGCGGGCGGAGGCGGAGGCGGCGATCGGAGGGCGAGGAGGAGGGGGAGGGGGAGGGGGAGGAGGAGGGGGAGGGGAGGGCGCGGAGGGGGAGGATCGGAAGGAGGAGGCGGGCGCCTCCGCCCCGCCCCCGCCCGTCCCCGCCCCTGCGTCCCGCGGCCGCCTCCACCCGCCAGGCCCGCCGCGCGCTCGGGCGGCCACCTCTGCACCCCGGGGCCCCTGGCGACCCCGCGCCCCTCGCCGCTGGATCCCCCATGGGCGCCCACGGCGCACGTGAAGGTGCACACCTTGGCCCTTCCGCCTGCCCCTCGGAGCCTGGCTTCGGGGTAGCGAGGGGGTGGCGGGCGCCGCGGCTCGGGTCCGTGGCGCTGGCTCCGGACGTCGGGCGGGGGCCGAGGGTGCCCCCCAAGCCCCCCGCTGGCGCCCGCATCTCGCGGCCCGTCCGGAAGCCGCAGCGGCCACACTCCGCTTCCCAGGCCACACACTCCGTCGGTGACGGAGCCGACCCGGGAAGCTGGCCTGGGGCGCACGGGACCCCTCACCTGCCGCGGCAGGTGGGGAGCGAGCGGCCCACCCGGGTACAGGCGCCACCCGAAAGTCTTCCCGCGCTGAGGCGAGGGCCCCTCCCCGGCTTGGAAAGTGTCCGCTTCAACTTGTGGGTCCAGGTAAACAGGCAGAGGGCAGCAAGGGCGGGGCCGACTGTCCAGACCTGCTCAAGTGTTTTGGGGGACGACGAAGCCTACTTTGCTACACGGATTGGGGGGGGGGCTGGGGCCAGAATGCACCCCTCGGAGGGGTTGCGGACCTGTCTGCTGGCGTGGGAGGGACTGTGGAGTGAGGGAGAAGCTCTTGCGGTTATGCATCCGGAGATCACCCGAGTTAGAATCACCTGCGAATCTGAACAACTCTGTCACGTTACTTAGTGACTACGCATCAGCGTTCCCACCGCCCCCTGACCCAGGAGTCCGGGGGTCTTCCCACCGCCCCCTGACCCAGGAGTCCGGGGGTCTTCCGGGGACTCTGTGCCCCAGCCCGTTTTTCACTACAATGCGTTCTTTTGTGGCGGCAATCCTAAATTTAGCCTGGAGCTGCTTCTAGAGTGGTTGCTGAAAATCGCGGAGGGAATTCTGAAGGTAGTGAGACCCAAGCCCTAAAACACGAATGCTTTTGACATTGTTTGCTCTTCCCCTTCATCTGATTAGGAACGCACCTGATTCCAAAGGGAGACACCTAAATAAATGCCCTGTGTCTGAATTACATACATAAGGAACACGTCTAGCGTGCACAATTTTACTTAACATTAAGGAATGTATATATTTCGCCACACAGCAACCATCTGGAGTGGGGGAAAAAAAAGGTTCTGAATGGCATAAATTCAAAGAAATCTAAACTCATGTCTTTGCCTTTATTTTTTGTTGATTAAAAAAGCAAGCTACTCTCAGCTGAAATAGCTAGTGACACACACGCACACATACCCCCCAAATCTTTTCACACTTCTATTCAAAAATGCATAGAAAATGCCAGTCAAGTTTCTGTGGGATTTTAAATAATTGAAATGAGAAATTTCTGCCCCAGTGAATCATTTTATTGTGGTGCAGCACCTTTTACCCTTTATTCGAGATCCTATAGGGTAGATTAGTATGAAAACATAACTTCCCTGGAATCCTTAACTCCCATGAACATCAACCTTATGCTCCTCACCAGAAGAATCTAAAGACAAGAAATAAAAGTCCATACGAAGACTGAAATGCCCCACACAAAGACTAGCAAATCTGTGATGGAAGGTCATTGATGACTACTAAGGAATGAAAAGTAAAGTCACATTTCCCATATGGGAGCAGTGGAATAACGTACAGATTGCACCTGTTTAGGTAGTAGATGCTGTTCCTGTCCTAAGCATCTTGCCAGGATCTTGAGTCCGAAATGGAATAGCATCGCACAGTTGACACCTCTTATCCTTTTGGAAGAATATGTAGATGTAACATCTTTGAAGGAGGCTACATTGTCATTACTTACCTGTAATGTAAGTAAGTACTTACTTACTTACCTAAAATGTTAAGTGTTCACACTTGTAATAAATACTTGCAGAATAATTCCAACCTCTTTTTAGCCGTTTTAAGACTACTACTATTACTGGGTTCTTCAAGGATATCACTCTTATCTTTAAAAAATAAAAAAAAAGAATCTAGCCCAGGAATAATGGTCTCCAAAACCACATGATGACAAGACTTATCTCTGCATAGGATCTCATTAGGCAGGCATAAGTATGCATGCACAAATGTAAGCTCTTGGGTGAGTACCCAATCTCTAGATATTAGGATCTCGTAAGAGTGGAGGTATAGCTTTAATTTCAGAATAGAGAGCCTTTGATTTTTTTTTTTTTTTGCCTTATTTAAGGCTGTGCATCAACAGGAAGACAATTTGAAGGTCATAGACAATTAAGCAGGAAACTTCCCTAGAGACTTAGTCTTTCTCTAGAAATATAGAAGGTTCAACCCACACATTTTAGATATTCAGTCATTACATCAAAGTGTGAATTTCATGTGCTAATTTTGACAAAACTGCTACGGCCATTTATGAAAAGAATCAGCTACAGCTAAAGAGGGAGAGGCCAACATTAAGGGAAAGGGAAAGGCCAGCCAAGCAGGAAGCCAAAGGAGGCCTACTAGAAGAGGAGAAAGGCCTCCTTACCAGCCCCTCGCACCCCCCCCACCCCCCACCCAGGGCCCTAAGAATGGGAATTCCATCCTTTCCAGGCTCTGCCTGGATGCTCTACCCGTTCAGTAGTTTATCAAATTCATTCGCCTCCGAATTTTCAAAATCTCTATTATCAGACCGTGTTCCCACAAAGAAAATTTGATTTTCCTCTTCTCCAGTTGAGTACTTTGAACCACTCCGCCAGATTCTGCAGTCCCCAAATCTCAAATCTATTTTACTATCATTGTTAAGACTCCAAATCTTCCTCCTTCTTCCAGATCCAGATTAAAATTTTCACTTACTTCCTTTCAAAGTATGAATCAAGAAACATGGCAAGCAAGCCTGAAGACCCTGGCCCCATCCTGTGTCTGGGGCCGCCATTCCTGCTGCCTATCATAGACCATCCTTATGTCATCTTTTTGGCCAAACCACTGCCAGAAACATTATTAGGCCACCTGCTTGATAGTTTCTCTTTGTTTTCAGAAGTGTTCTCAGAGGGAAACAGTGGGTCTTTGAAGTGGAAGGTCAATTTTATTACTCTCAGGTATGTGAGAAATAGATTGTATTGATATTGCTATTAGGGTATGGTACATGACAAATACTGCCTTCTAAATTTACAAGGACTGAAAGGAATGAACTTGAGATCTGGATGTTTTCCTTTACTTATGATTCTCCCATCCTTCTTAGAGTGGTGAGCAAAAATACTGATCATCGTCTTTCATTATTTTCTTAAGCTAAACTTAAATAAACTGATAAACAAATCCTTTTATAAGTCAGCAGTCCATGACATCAGTGATGCTAGTGTTCATTAGCACTTTTATAATAGTGGCCGAGATAATCCCTGTGGGAGAACAGTAACGCGCCCAAACCACATGTTGTTTCTGGACAAAGGTAAAATAAAAGCCACTGTTGAAGGGCAACCTGGTTCAGGGAATGTGGTTACAAATCAGTGCCAAGAGACCCTTTGGCTCTCAGAGGTCGACAGTTCGCAGTCACACAAAATGGAGTGGAATATAATGAAAGATAACTTCAAAGGCTTAAGAAATATGTGGTTGGGTGGGTGCAAACATTGGGAAAATTGTGAAGTGGGAAAAGCTGGTAAACTTGGCCTTTCAGGCACTCTAGGGTCTCTATGATGGAATTCACCTATCTCACCACTAGATGGCAGGCGCACACCAACCAGTGCAGCTCAGAATTTTTCAGAGCTTTCCATGGCAGCCACCATTAGCTTCACCAAGGCAATTATCAATTACAAACTGAACGTCAGTGAACAATTATAACTAATTATAACTAATTGTAATTATTTTTTAATTTTACAACTTATGTTATACTTCAGTGGCTAATGATTGATTAATATAAAACAATATTCAGAAAACTGAAAAGAATTAAGAGAACATTTTTCTGTATAGCAAAGTCATTTTGATTCCGCTTTTACTTCTTTACAGGTCGCACTAAGGTTAACTTTTTTTAGAAATAAAATCAAAACTTTTGATGTAAGTGAATGCTATGGCCTGCGCTAGCATCTATGAACCCAAAAGGCAGGCAGATATTTATACCCTGTGGACTGGCAGTATCTTTAGGGAGTGACACAAAGACAGCAGCTCAATAAGAAATTACTTGATGTGGCCATCGTGGAGTTAAAAGGTCGGTGGCTAGCAGACCAAGGGCGACAGAACCCCGCAGTGTGCTGGCAAGTGCCCCATGCCGTCAGGGCCAGTAGTGACATCCTACGCAGACTGTTCTCAATGGCGGGATCTTGGCCATGCATCAGATTCATCTGGGCTAACTCAAGCTTCATTCTTCAGACTTCCTGTTGATTCTGTGGGGGGTCTATATACCTGCAAAAATATTTTGGTGTGTGTGAGTCAGCTGGCACTGACCTGTGTTTGCAACCAGGAGTGTTGACTGGATCATAGTTTTAATTTTATTCTGTATCCTATTTCTTTTTTTTTTTTTTTTTTTTTTTTTTAATTTATTTCTAGAGAGAGAGAGAGCGTGAGCAGGGGAGGGTCAGAGAGAGAGGGAATCACAGACCGAAACAGGTTCCAGGCTCTGAGCTGGCAGTCAGCACAGAGCCCGACGCGGGGCTTGAACCCACGAACCGTGAGATCATGACCTAAGCGAAAGTCGGACGCTCAACCGACTAAGCCACCCAGGCGCCCCTCTGTATCCTATTTCTTGAAGGGTCATTTTGAGCTCATGGGGGCTGAGGCTATGAGAAATTAGGGATACAGGAACTTGGGACAGAGGAACCTCCTTGGTGCCTTGCAGGTCATAACGTCTAGACCTGAACTGCCCAGTAAGTAGCTACTCAAATTTAAAGTAATTTAG